CCCAAATTCCGGATATTAACTCAGAGTGAGCACTTATGTAATTCACTGCGGATCAAAGTCCTTTACAAAAGACAGAGACCTCCACCAGAAACTCACACACACGCAGCATACACGTTAGCTAGAGGTGGGAACACCTCAGCTACCGTGTCGCAATAACTAAAAGAAAAAAGGGAATAAAATGCACCAGGTACAAGCCAGCTGAGCTACTGGTAACCGATGGACATCGTTCCGGTAAGCTAACAGCCGGCTACTGTGCAGCATAAAAAATAATTTACTATGCAAAATTATAAAATGTTAAATTATGAGATCATAGTTGGAGGGGGAGGCTAAGAGGGATGGGGTGGGACAAAGAAACTCACAGCACGAACGCCACTGAGGTCGGCTCCTAGCCATATCAGCAAGTGTGTCCAACCAAACGTGTTCATCGTCTTTCGGACCCCAACCAGGGAGCCGAGACGCTCCAACCGAGGCCAGCTCAGAAGTGAGGGTCTTCAATCCTCTCGACCAAGTCATCGTTTGGCCACCTATCCTCTTTTTCCATCCACACCCCCGGCGCGCAAACAACCCGCGTCGCGGGAATCGGTGGGCTGGCATGCGTAACACATGGCCGAGCCATCGGAGCCTGGTGGGTGAAATAACGGTGATGAGCGGTTCATTTCCTTTTCCTGTGCCGTAAACAAGGCATCGAACACGCTCGTTGCTCACGTAGTGTTCCCACCAGATGTGAGCTAAATTGCGAAGGCATCGGTGGTCGAACGTAACTAGCCTCTTTATATCCGCTGATCTATGGGGCCAGGTTTCACAACCGTACAGTAGGGTCGAACGTACCGACGCATTGTACACTCTGTCCTTCAGGGCGAGAGTGATGTCGCGCAATACTTCTTGCAACTATACGTATAATTCATAATGGTTGATTTCACGAGCACATTGTTGAGATGGGTAGTGTTGCGAACACTTCCTCGGGGTTGCATGAACCATGCGAGAAAATAGAATAAATTGAATACATGAGAAACACGCGTTCGCTCAGTTGCCCGACAAGATGCACACGTCGCAGTTAATGTTTGCTGTAAAGTTGACGGCGGTGGACAGGACCGTTGAAGCTCACTAGGCTGCGTTATGCGCTTCTTTCAAGCCAGGGTCGCGTACTTCTGTTGCCCATACAACGTTGACCTCGTGTATGCCAAGTAACGCAATAAGGATTACCGCCATTCCTCTGTTTATCACGGTTCGCCAATGGTAAGGGAACTGTCGCTTGAAAATTGCTTAGGATCTACAAGCTAGAGATGTTTTCTCTACCGATTATCATTGCCTACTTCGGCACTTCGCTTCAGCCGTTCTAGGTTCCACATAGTGCACCTGCCCATTACACACAAACGGTGCGGCATTATCTTATGGAGGTGTTCGGTCAACAGTGGATATAAAGATTGGCCTGCCCGGTCACCAGATTTGAACTCATTACATTTCTTCCTATTGGGTTATTTGAAAAGAAGTGCCTACAAGAACACGCTTTTTTACTGGAACAACTGTTAGGAAGTACTGTCCACGAATGTCGCGCCATCAACACGGAAACTTTGCAAAATGTTATAGCCTATTGCCTCAGCTCATTTTCACAGTGTAAGGAGAACGCCAGCGGGCATGTTGAGCATCTTCGTCGTTGACGGACATATGACCGTTCTACGCGGTTTATGTCAATATACATATTCACCGTTAGCACTGATTGCTGGACTACATTGGCGCACGGGCAAATGGTGCCAAGTGTGCGTCGGGCCAGAAAGCAATCCACGAGCAATGCTGATTCGACGTCGCTTAGACTGACCACTTCTATGCAATTTGGTTCACAATGGTAATACTTGATTTTCATGATTATGCCTTAGGAATACGGGGAGGATGTGAACGAGATGGTGATGTGAGGCTACGCGGTTTCGTATTTGTATCCTGTTCATCGGTGTACAGACTCTGTCGTGGGACGAGTGCTTCCAAAAAATAACATATCAGTGACACAAAGGGGAAAGAAAGACGGTCCAACCACTTTGCACTAATAATACGGATCGTGACAGCATGACTTATCGATCCTTTTGAAATGGCCATTCGGAATATGCAGCATAATGTGTACCATAAGGATAACGGCTTGTGGTGCACGGCATGCGTGAGAACCGACATGCGTGTGCCGTGGTCCCACGATTTGTCATTCATTTTTTCGAGCCAATGGGCTTCGCGTTTTGTGCAATTCGTGATTTTCAGTATCCCCGAGGATTAGATATTGCCTAGAAATGCAGATTCTCCGTTCCGTACTAATGGCATACTTCCTCATCAGTGAATATGTTAGAATGAACGCTCATGGCCCCGCCTGAAACAAATTGGGGCAGTGTTACCACACTTGTTTCCTGTAACGGCAATCAATACTGCGACGGAAAAATGGACTACGCGGCAGCGAGTAGTCTTTAGGCGGCATATCTTTTCAAGACTCCTTTCTCAAAACCCCACATTTCATATTTGCAAGGCTTAGGTTTAAGTAGTGCCTATTTTGCAAAGGTAGGTTGTTGGGAGATAACTTTCAGTATACAAGAGCGTTGCCAATAACCCATTTGTCATTAGTTGGGATCACCCTAAGCACCTAGTGCACACTCCTTGCTCAGGATAGTTACGCCTGTCAAAGCGTCAGTACCATTTTACAGCAGTAACCCGGGAATGAGTTGCCGCTGTTTCGAGTTTGCACGCCTGTTTCCTTTCCAACCAGCCCGACACGCCGTATGCATCGATCGGTGTACTTTCTCTGTGGCGTGCAGTAGGTTGACTCCAACGCAACCATCTACGCCTGATCCAGCATTTTCGCGATGGACGACAATGCCAAAGACACATGTACCCACATGCAAGCATACGGTCGTTCTACACCCATGTGACCTGGTGAGACATTTTGAGATAGACGAACCTCTACTGTTGGACATTTGGCAATTTAGTGCGCTCTACCTCACACCCGAAGGAGTAATCCTTTTCCCTGCTTTATAAATGTAGAAGGACAAAACCTTTGGGAATTTTCGTACAGCGCAACGTGGGGGAAATCAACTATCGAATTGACTGTCCAGTTATGAAATTTATGAGGAAATTTATTTTCCTATGATAGGGTAATGTAACGGCGTTTAAAATATCTTTTTGTATTCCACAGCAGAATCTTGCTTTCGCTACGCTTTGAAATACTGCTCTCTGGTGAATTGCGAAATAACCGAGTTTGAATTTTTGAATATTTTTTATTCTATCGTTTTATTTTTGGATGCGTTTCGAACTATTTACCCCATACTTTTAGTGTTCATTAAAACTACCGGAACTTCCACTAATGGTAAGAACCAAACTAGGTTTCTCTAGTTATTACCACCTGAAATCTGGATTAGCGTCATCTATTCGTGGTTCTGTTGCGTTCATTAGTTTGTAGTTTTACCAGTATAACCACATTCCCGGCAAAGTTTTGCTGCTTCGACTTCGGTCCTGCTGCATACCGTCTGTCGTGGCAGTATGGCAAGGACATACCTATTCGCCCAAACAGCAACATCTATGAAGGGGCATTTTTATTGTCATAAGGTAAACTGATCGCGGAAAGTTACCTTTCAACAGAGGTTAGGGCGGTCAATCACGAGAAGTAAAAGGCAGAGGAAAGTGAAGCATTATGGAACCTTTAGCACTTTCGGCAAGCTCTCCCAGGGCGACAAATAAATGAAACCAACGTTGACATTCCTATCCCGAAAACTCTCTCCTACCGTGCTAGACGTAACTGGAGCCCCGATATTTTTAAAGCCTGAGGAAGCAATTCTACGCAGGACCTTAATTCCTTACGGTTATCCTGAGATGTTTATTCAGGTACACAGCAGACCTCCCAGCAAGAAAACGCCAGTGCTAACGGCATAGAAAATGGATGTTTCTTTGTTCTTACCGTTCAAGGGGGACTATTTGATAAATGATGTCGGACGCAAGCCACGGTCCTCCATAACACGCAGTTACACAACTACCCATTTGCGACTCATGCCTACCAAACGAGGACTTGCTACTCATAACCGTCGGAGAGTCTCAGCGGATAGTTCGGCCTCTCATGTTGCTTATCAGTTCAGCTGCAGTTGCGGCGACAGCTATATAGGCAAAACTAACTGTCATTTAGCTCAGAGGGTAACTGTACACTTGACAAAGTGGTTAGGACCAATGGTGACGCAACAAAACGGTACGGATCTAAGGATTAAATGGAGCCCGACACCATCTATCACCTAGCTCATCATGGCAAATTGTCACCACGTGAACCCTGGAACCGCACTGGATGCGATATTGCGCAACAAACTTCGATAACCTTGGTAATTATTGAGGTGTTAATAATCAAGTCCCATCAACCTATGAGCACAGAAAGTCTTGAGGCAAGTAATTCATTTGTCTTGGTTTTGACTGTGACAATTTGATTACTGTTACTTATTTATCCATGTAAATAACCTTGGGTGGGTTTCTGCGCGTACTGTGTTTGCGACTAAAGAGAACAATCAGAATGTTGACATATAGTAACCTATGTCTTCTCTTCACTTTGACAAAATGCTTTCAGCCTGCCTAAATTTACTTGAATGTACACGGTATGGCAAAGTCAGTTGCTGTGATACGCGTTTTTCTGGGTGCGTCGGTAGTTCTGCAATGAGCCATAGTGTAGTTGCTTCGATTCATGAAGAAGCAATCGGTCAAGTAGTTCTGATTAAACGGATATAGTTGTGCTATAGCAACACCTGTTACTTTGGGGCAGTAGGAGTATTGCGTATATGGAGTTGTGAGCTCACAGTGACGCATGGTTTGTATAAAACATTCAGTAACCAATGAATACCGGATTGAATATTGGAATATACACTGCGTAACCGTTTCATGGAATGTGGCGTGCATATATCCCAGACAGCAGTACCTATGAAGGTGGACTGTTCTTATTGTCATGCAAAGAACTGATTGCGGCAAAATACTTTTCAACAAAGGTCGGTGAGGTTACTCACGAGGAGTAAAGGGCTGAGGAAAGCGGACCGTTCTGGCATCTTTTGCATTTTCGGCTAGCTCTTCCAGGGCGACAAATAAATGAAATCAACATTGACTTTTCCCCCTCGAAGAAGTGCTTCATTTTCATCTCCAACCTAGAGGAAATGAGCTGGACACAGCGAAAGTTTAAGGTACGCAAGTGAACGCGTAGGAAATTAATCATGAAATGCGGTGTAGAGTGGGTTCACTGACATACCAACCTGTAGCACATTCTCCAGTACTAGTGGTCCTTGTAATGTTAAGTGCTCAGGGTAGGATATTGGTTTTTCAAACTGGGTACTTCCTACTTGCAGTCTAACAGTAGTCTTCAACAATGCTTCCCCGAAACAATTTACTTCATCCTTCCCATTCACCGTGGTTGAGGTTCCCTGTGGAAGCGTCGAGGATTTGTCAATCATTTGGTTATGATCCAATGCTTGATAGTAGCTCGCAAATTTGAGTTCACTCCATTTTGAGAAGGAGAAAACGCCACCGTCTGCCTCCACCACAACACTCGATCCATTCTGTAGAGCTACACGAGAAAAATGGATTAATATGACTTACCAAGTGCAGCGAAATCTCCAAGACACTTTCCAAAGCTAATCTCAGGATCAGAGATGTTTACGAAATAATGAGATTTAGCGTAGCTAAGTTATATACAATCATGAAGATGGAGTCGAATACTATTGTGTAGGATTATATCGAGTGTAACAGCCGCAAAATAAGTCGTAAAATTTTCTTTTAGGATTAATACTTGGATGGTTGTACATATAGTACCAAATAATCGATCTTTGTTATCTTTTTCACCACGACTTTGAATATATACCCGCGAAATTCGAATACCAATTCAACTGTTCTTATGTAACTCGTCAGAGTATCGCTGTAGAAAGTCAACAAGTAAGATGTCGAGCATAGTCTTGAATGCCTTTGTCGTTTCCTTTCCTATTTACCCAGTTCGTCCTTGGCGTCGTTAGAGCAACCATCTCCGGTGCGGAAGTTCGCCATTCATCCAGTCACAGCAGTCTCTGCCCTCCGTAGACAGCTGTGACAACGCTCTCCAGCTCACCATAAGGAGCAAGGCAGGTGCACCCACCATCCAGCTACAACTCGTACTAAGTGGTTATGATGAAAGTGTCCAGCCACCTGCGAAGTATGTCTTTTGCCCTTCAGCCCGTCAATCTATTACAGCCGACGTCCACTGCGAAAACAGAAACCTTCGAAACTCTCGACCGGACGCATACTACACTTATTAGGAGTCAAGACTAGTTTGGACTATTTCCATTCCGAACATACTACAATTGGCGCCGTGGTCAGAGTTTATTCTAAAATGAATATAACTACCGAAACCTTGAAAATAAACGCATCGCCTTGCAAGTTAGAAGAATACATAAAAAGATTCGGGCTGTAGTGGCTCACAAATTGTGACCTTCGCGAAGACCTGAAAAGCAATCACTTTTAACTGCTGTTGGACGAGTACCTTATTCAAAGTGAAAAGTCCAGCCTTTTCTTAGCTTCTGCCGAAATTATCTCACGAAAAGTTGAAGGGTCTCCTTTTGAATTACAGTTTATATATGTTTTATATTTATATTACCGGAAATTTTCGTGGTCGCCGAGAGGGTAAAGTTCAATTTACTGATGCGTCATCTAATTAATCTGTTCGAGCATTCATTGCCTAAGTTCGGACGCAAGCTTCATCCTGTGCACTTGGGGATAAGCTTGATGAGCATCTGAGAGATCACCTTACTTCTGTCATAAATAGCCCTGATTTATATTGTCGGCTCCTGTCAGTTCCACTACCGGCTTATAATCAAGTGGAGTCCATCTGCTTGCACTATCAGCTTGTTTCTGACATTACAGAAGCTCAGTGGGCTGTTATTTATCAGCAAATTTCGTTTGGTTCAGCTAAACGCCGAGTTCATGCCGACCAGAGAAAATAGTGGCAATATGACTAGTTTAAACCTCAGGGCACTGCATATTCTTACGTGCAGAAGGATTCAGACAGTGTAAAGTGCGATCAAGTCAATATAAAGATTGGGCGATGTGTTCCTTATGAAAAGCTACAATTGCCGTATACTTGCCCACATCGGAATTTTAAAAAGTATCAGCATGGAAATGTCGGAAATGGCAGCAGTGTTGGAATACAATGAAACAAGCTGATGATACAGCTGAGAACTAACCAATGGATTTTCACTCCTTTACACTGGCTGTAAATACAAGTGGTCATTCATTCAATACACTACGCTTTGGTACTAGTACGTCACACCGTTTCATGGTTGATACTGCCAGCGTGGAGTCTCTCGTTTTAAAAACGAGTCTCATTCATCTGTACCCTGATGTTGTCATTCCTCAAGGCCCATCTATCCTCGGTCTTAATGCCATGCAGGAGCTTAAAATAAGGGCCGTTTTTCTGCCACGCATTGATACTGACAATCAAATTCGTGGTTTACTGCACGACTGCTCAGTGACATAAGGTAGAATGAAAACTCCGTCTGTTGATTTGGACTCAGCCGATGATCATGTTTTCGGTAAACGCCGTATACTTCCAGTTGGACTAAGGAAACCTGTTCGCAAAGTACTTGTGTCTACGTGAAGCAGGGATTATCATCCCAGTACTACGTTTGTGATAGACCGCGCTTATTTTCCCACCGTTAAAGCCGGGTCGACAAGCCCAGAGAGTTAGCGGCCATTACCGCATTACTCTTAATGCAAACCTACCTCGGCGTACTTGTGCGACGGAAGAATCTGATTCTATTCTTTCTCATCTATACGGACACAAGATTTTCTCGAAGTTAGACTTATATATATATATGTATATATATAGATATATATATATATGCGCAGATACCATACACCGATGATTCTAGTGCACTGGAAGGGCGGCAACCGGTTCTGAATTCGCCTACCACTGTGGCCACCACGGAGAGAGCCGCAGGACTCCTGCGCCGACAGAGGGACCAAGGGTGGCTTGCACCGCACCACACATGCGGTTCCACCTACATACCCCATATGTAATATAAACCAGAAGGAATAAGACAGGGAAACATGCGGATGGGGGCCACGTTTCATTACCGGAGCCATCCCACACTCCTTCAACAAGCAGGACAGAAACATTCCGGCCTAATTGAAACTCATACGTACCATGAGTACACAAGGCGGTGGCTGAGCGGTAGCACATTTCACCCAGGGAGGAACCACTCTTTGAACCTAGCACCGTCACGACGATGGTGAAATAAATACCAACAATGCAATTTTTGAGCTATCATCATCATCATCAGCAGCAGCAGCATCATCAGCATCGTCATCATCAGCATCTTCTTCATCATCATCATCATCGTCATCAGCATCATCAATACAGCTTAGTTTAAGGTGAGAAATACCAACTAATATGCTGCACCTTTTGGGTGCCTTCCCTTCGGTCTTAGTGTGTCGACAGCCATATTCCAAGATGTGATGAACTCTATTGTGAAAGGTCTGGAGCGCGTTGTGATCTATCAGGACGATGAGTTTGTGCGTGCTGCTTACAGGCACGCTCAGGATTAATGATTACTGGGAATTTTAATTTGCTTCAAGGATGTTAATGTAAATATAACCCAAAGAACTGCTCGATTCATGTCCAAGAGGTCAATTGTCTGGAAAGATTGTCTGAAGGATTCAAACCACATCCTGATCGGATAAAGCCATTAGTGGACGCAAAGTAGTCCACCAATGTTCATTAGCATCAATCATTGGTGGGAGCCATACAGTATTATTTTTTAAAATTACTTCCTTATTTTTCATCCATTGCTGACTCTTTATTTACCTTGTTGTATGACAACGGTGCCCCATGCTGAGGCTGATGTTGCATTCTTGATGCTTCTTCACCGCAGTTGGGCTAAACCAACTTACACATTAACTAGGTCTTTTTAAGCTGGCTAAATTTCATTCCACTTTATTTGGTTTGTTCTGCCCACCTAAATACTCTCCTATTAACTGGCCACGTTGCTTACACTAATTGCGCTTATCTTCGGTAACTTTGTTTCATTTTGTAGCATTTTTAACTAAATTGTGGACATGTTTTCCTTATCGCGGATTCGTTGCTAACCAACTTACTTCGTATACTTATTTAGATTAGAGTTAAGCCACCGTACCTGTATACATTATTGGATTTGTTTTATTTCATCCTGTCGTTCCAGGTGACTGGCTGTTGCTTGATATCCCCGGTGTGACTGCGTTTGATGTGCATGTTGACAAGGTGCCTACCTGTCTATTACCCACTACCTCGTCCATACTCGCTCCAGGAGACAGTTGGTCGTTGCTGGAGGGGACGGGGTGCACGGTCCTTGTGGTCGTGCTAGGCTCGAAGAGTGGTTCCATGCACTCAGTGTGGAGCGGACTACGGTCCAGCCAACGCCTTGTGTGCGCTTGATTCCCAAATACAGCGTGCTTGTGTTTGCCTATGAAGGAGTGTAGGCCGGCTCCGTTGATGAAACGTGGTTCCCATCCACATGCCTCCCGCTCTTATTCCTTCGGGTTTACACTGGATATGGGGTGTGTGGTTGGAGCTGTGGGGGGGTGCAGCGCAAGCCAACCATGGTCCCTCTGTAGGCGCAGGCGTCCTGTGGCTGGCCACAGTGACAGGCAAATCCGGAACCGGATGCCGCCATCCATGTATGACAAGGGTTTTACTTGGCTAGACACACATGGACATTTTCTTCAGGAGCATTTAAAGATGTTTACATCTGGTTGTGTTCTTCGTACTTTCGCTCCAGATTCACAGACCTTATTTTTCAAGCATGCCTCACTAACCGGTATAGGTGCTGCGTTAGAGCAGCATGGGTACCCTGTACTGTGCATCTCTCGTTGGGTCAGTAATGCCGAAAATGGGTACGCTCAGACCCGTTCAGAAGCTTGGGCTGTATACTAGGCAAGCAATAAACTGCTCAAATATTTTGTACTCTCAGGTTTACTAATGGGACAGATCTTGAAGTTGATTTACAACCCCGCCAGTTCTGTAGCTAATACTCGGCAGATATGGTTCAAAGTTAAAGTGTTGCACTTAGTGCGCACAACCATGTGCCGGAAAACTAAAGTGCAAACTTCATTCCACACGTCGACTACTTACTGCGAGATCCAACGGTATTCGAAACCGGATCTGAAATGAGGTGTCTAATCACCCAGCCGCTTCCAGTCTCCTATTCGGCACTTATCACCGAGACTATACAATACTAATGGTCATTGATTTCTGTTGTCAAACGAGAATGGTATGCTTCTCTAAAACGGAAGTTCCCACAGTTTCATGTGCGTCGAGAAGAGTTGTGTGTTACACCTGATGGATTACAGCCTGGGAATGACCATGTCGTCATTCCGTCGACTTTTAGATCCGCTGTTCGGACAGATCTACATTAACCATTTTGGGGCTGAAAATATGGTCATTAGCTCGATGTTTGTGCTGGTAGCCTGAATTAAATGCAGATATTCGACGAACTGCTTCTGGTTGCCCAAACTACAAACACAAGAGTCTACATCACCGTCCAAGTGGTACCATGGCTGATGAAATGCGAGCCATAGCGAAGGCTACAAATGGATTGTTGCGGACTATTTCTGCAGAAGTACAATGCACTTGCAGTGGTGGATTCTTGCTTTAAGTGGTTGGAGGTATTCCTGACTG